TAAGGAGCTTTAAATAATAACCGTGAGCTTTTTGCATTGACTTATTAAAATGCAGCTTAGGCGGAAGGCACCTGGGCCGCAATCCCTTGACAAGCGCCACGGATCTGTGGCAGGGAAAATGGGATGAGAGGCCTATTAGCGAGATCAGAGATAGATATGTATAGATAGATCACATATATTATCCGATATCTAGACAGAGAGAGAGAAATCTGAAGCGCCCAAAATGAAACCCCCTTAAATTGAGGTTCTGGCCCTTTAATTACAACCCATTTTATATTTACACTATTTTAGTCTATTCTATTTTATTACATTTTCTGTTCTATTTTATTTCGTTTCATTATTTTGTTTTATTTTTCAGTTTGGCATTTTTTTAAATTTTCTATTTTGCTTTATTATTTTATGAAATTTTATTTAACATTTTATTTCATTTTCGATTGCATTTTGCTTTAATTTATCATTTTGTTTTGCTTTATTATTTTTATTATTATTTTGATTCTATGATTCTATGATTCTATTTTATATTACAGTCGGCTGTATCATTTTTTTCTCATTTTCTATTATATCTTATTTTACGTTATTCTTTTCTTATATTTCATTTATCATTTTATTTCATTTTCTATTATATTGTATTTTATTTTACTCCAGTATTTTACTTTATCATTTTATTACATTTTGTTTTTTGTTTTATTTCATTTTCTATTATATTATATTTTATTTTACTTTTTATAGTACTTTGTTATTTTATTGTATGTATTATTTTACTTCATTTTCTCTTATATTTTACTTTACTTTATTATTTTATGTTATTATTTTATTATATTGTATTTATAATTTTATTTCATTTTCTAAGAGATTTTTACTTTATTATTTTATTATATTTTATCATTTTATTTCATTTTATATTATATTATGTTGTATTTATTATTTTATTTCATTTTCTAAGAGATTATTACTTTAGTATTTTATTATATTTTATCGTTTTATTTCTTTTTTATATATTATATTTTACTTTATTATTTTATTTTACTTTATTATTTTATTATATTGCATTTATTATTTTATTTCATTTTCTAAGAGATTTTTACTTTATTAATTTATTATATTTTATTCATAATTTTATTTCTTTTTCTATTATATTATATTGTATTTATTATTTTATTTCATTTTCTAAGAGATTTTTACTTTATTATTTTATTATATTTTATCATTTTATTTCATTTTATATTATATTATGTTGTATTTATTATTTTATTTCATTTTTATTTCATTTTCTAAGAGATTATTACTTTAGTATTTTATTATATTTTATCTAAACCGCATTGAGTCGCCGCCTCAGGCTGATATATGCGGTATACAAATAGAGTAAATAAATAAAATAAATAAATAAATTTTATTTCTTTTTTATATATTATATTTTACTTTATTATTTTATTTTACTTTATTATTTTATTATATTGCATTTATTATTTTATTTCATTTTCTAAGAGATTTTTACTTTATTAATTTATTATATTTTATTCATAGTTTTATTTCTTTTTCTATTATATTATATTGTATTTATTATTTTATTTCATTTTCTAAGATATATTATATTTCACTTTATTATTTTATTTTACTTTATTATTTTATTATATTGTATTTATTATTTTATTTCATTTTCTAAGAGATTTTTACTTTATTATTTTATTATATTTTATCATTTTATATTATATTATATTTATTATTTTATTTCATTTCCTAATCTATATTTTTACTTTATTATTATACTTTATTTTATTGTATTATTTTAGTTCTTTTTCTAATCTATATTTTTACTTTATTTTTATTATATTTTATTTATCATTTATTTCATTTTCTAATATATTATGCTTTACTTTCTTGTTTTATTATATTTATTACTTTATTTCATTTTCTAATATATTTTATTTTACTTAATTATTTTATTTTACTTAAATATTTTATTATATTGTATTTATTTAGTTCATTTTCTAATCTATATTTTTTACTTTATTATTTTACTTTATTTTATTATATTTTATTTATATTTATATTGTATTTATTATTTTATTTCATTTTCTAATATATTTTATTTTATTTTATTATTTTATTACATTTTATTTATTATTTTACTTCATTTTCTCTTCCATTTTGCTTTAATTTATCCTTTTATTATTTTGATTCTGTTTTATATTCCAGCCGGCTGTATCATTTTATTTCATTCTCTATTCTATTTTATTTTGCTTTACTTTATCATTTCAGTGGACCACATTATTCCATTCTAATATATATACACACATACATATTAATATTCTGCCTTTTATTCCGTGCTGGCCCTTTAAAAGCCCCTTTTTTCTTTCTTTCTTTCTTTCCTTCCTTCCTTGCAAATCCTCGCCAAGGCGCCTTAATTAGACCAAATTAGATTTCCAACCCAATGCTTTTGTCGTTCATTAAAAAGCCCGATGATGCTCTTTGCTGTAATTAAAGGCCATCCCATAATAGGCCTCTCTAATCAGAGTCAAGGGTTTGGCTCCTTCGATTGGAGCCTCCAGAAGAAAGGAAGGAAGAGAATGCAAGCAATCATAATCATAAACATAAACAAAGGACCCCTTCTGCGTCTGCACTGCGGAATTAATCCGGTTTGACACCGCTTTAATTGCAATGGAAGCCCACGGAGTGGGAGTTTGACTTCTGAGTGTTTTCCAATGGCTTGTGTGTGTGTATGTGTGTCATACATACATCTATACACACAGAAACTACAAGAACGGAGATTCCACCTGAACATGGGGAAGAACTTCCTGAGTGTAAGAGCTGTTCAGCAGTGGAACTCTCTGCCTCGAAGAGTGGTGGAAGCTTTGAAACAGAGGCTGGATGGCCATCTGTTGGGGGTGCTTTGAAGGCGATGCTTCTGCTTCTTGGCAGAATGGGGTTGGACTGGATGGCCTAACTCTACGATTCTATGAACAACAATAAGGCTGCTAAGGGATGGCATGAAGGAAGGGAAGGAGGAAGGAAATAGAGAAGGAAGGAAGGAGGAAAGGGAGGAAGGGAAGGATGGAAGGAGAAAGAGGGAGGTAAAGAAGGGAGGGAGGGAGGTAAGGAGAAAGGAAAGAGGTAAGGAAAGGAGGTTGAAAGGGTGGAAGGAAGGAAAGAGAGAAGGAAGGAAGGATGAAAGGAAGGAAGGGAAGGATGGGAGGAGAAAGAGGGAGGTAAAGTAGGGAGGGAGGGAGGTAAGGAGAAGTGAAAGAGGGAAGGAAGGAAGGAAAGAGAGAAGGAAGGAAGGATGAAAGGGAAGAAGCGAAGGAAGGAAGAAGAAAGGAAGGAAGGAAAGGGAGGGGAAAGGAAGGCAAGAGAGAAGGAAGGAAGGTTGAAAGGGTGGAAGGGAAGGAAGGAAAGAAAGAGAGAAGGAAAGATGAAAGGGAGGGAGGAAGATAGGAAAGGAAGGAGGAAGGTAGGAAAGAGAGAAGGAAGGATGGAAGGAGAAAGAGGGCGGTAAAGATGGGAGGGAGGTAAGAAGAAAGGAAAGTGGGAAGGAAATGCAAAAGGGAAGGAAGGACAAAAGTGTGGAACGGAAGGAAGGAAGGGAAGGAGGAAGGAAAGAGAAAAGGAAGGGAGGATGAAAGGGAGGAAGTGAAGGACTGAAGGAGAAAGAGGAAGGTAAAGAAGGGAGGGAGGTAAGGAGAAAGGAAAGAGGGAAGGAAGGAAGGTTAAAAAGGTGGAAGGGAAAGAAGGAAGGAAGGAAGGAAGGGAAGGTGGAAGGAAGGAAGGAGAAAGAGGAAGGAAGGGAAGGAAGGAAGGAGAAAGGAAGCCAAGAGAGAAGGAAGGAAGGTTGAAAGGGTGGAAGGGAAGGAAGGAAGGAAGGAAGGAAGGAAGGAAGGAAGGAAGGAAGGAAGGAAGGAAGGAAGGATGAAAGGGAGGAAGGGAAGAAGAAAAAGAAGGAGGAAAGAAGGAAAGAGAGAAGGAAGGATGGAAGGAGAAAGAGGGAGGTAAAGAAGGGAGGGAGGTAAGAAGAAAGGAAAGAAAGAAGGAAGGAAATGCAAAAGAGAAGGAAGGACAAAAGGGTGGAACTGAAGGAAGGAAGGAGGAAGGAAGGAAAAATAAAAGGGGGGAGGAAGGAAAGAGAGAAGGACAAAAGGGAGAAAAGAAGGGAAGGAGGGAGGAAAAAGTGGGAGAGAAGGAATGAGAGAGGAAAGAGGGAAGGAAGAACGAAAGGATGGAAGGGAACGGATGGAGGGCAGAAGGAAAGACAAAAGGAAGGGAAGGAAGGAAGGAAGGAAGGAAGGAAGGAAGGAAGGAAGGAAGAGAGAGGGAATGAGGGAGGAAAGAGGGAAGGCAGGACAAAAGGATGGAAGGGAATGAAGAGAGGGAGAAAGAGGAAGGTAAGGGAGGAAAGAGATAAGAAAGGAAATACAAAAGGGAACGACGAAAGGGTGAAAGGGGAAGAAGGTCTGGGGATGACTCCTGGCAGCCCCAAAGAGGCTGGACTAGATGACCTTTGGGGTTCCCTTCCAGGCCTGGGATCCCAAGCCATCGCCATGGAGATGCCCTCAAAGTGTGTGGCCACTCCACCCCAGTATGGCTCACAATGGAAGGGAGTTAATTGGAAAACTAAACTAAATACTCTGAACAAAAGCGGGGTCACCGAGTGCCCTTCGCTGGACCCTTGACCCTTTGATGGACATTTATTCAAACCCTTTCCATGCATTCGGGGCTCTTCCTTAAGTCCACCATTATTATTATTATTATTATTATTATTATTATTATTATTATTATAATATTAGTCTGGCAAAGTGACTCCAGACTATTATTATTATTATTATTACTATTATTTCTACTACTATTATTATTACGAATACTATTACTATTTCTACTACTATTATTAATATTATTATTATTATTTCTACTACTATTCTACTGCTAATAATAATAACAGTGATAAATATGAAAACATTATTAAAATAATACATGTATGAACTGAAATGTCTTTACGTGACCCCTTGCAGCCCGAAGTGGGGAAGCCTCGCCGGAGCTGCTACACCCTTCCGGGCTACGACTTCAATTATGGGCTGTACCTGCGTGGACTGGATGGTGGCGTCCCCGAAGGTAGGGCGGGAGAATCCATTATGGGGCCCTAGGCTTGGGAAGGGGTGCCCCAAAAGTCATCTAGTCTCAACCCCAGGGATCGGATGGTCTCAAGATCCTTCTCTTGAGTTGGGAGAGACCTGGTGGGCCATCCAGTCCAAGAAGCAGGAAAATCACATTCAAAGCACCCCCGACAAATGGCC